CCCCAAAACCCCAAAACCCCAAAACCCCAAAACCCCAATTTTAATGATCATTCTTGAATAAATATTTATAATTATGAACCTTATCCAGTCGAAGGACTCTTTAATGAGACTCGTGACTACAGCTCATGGAAAGGATAAAGGGTGCAGGTTCCTGCAGCATCTATTCTCTTTGCTGTATGAAATTTTTAGAGAGAAAGACACTGATAAATAAACTTGTCAAACTCAAGCGCTCGATGTGCCTCACAAGAAAGATCTTGAGATTCGGTCTTCCAATGTTCCTAATTCAGCAGACAAAGTCGAGGTTTATAGCTGCTTGCACAGACGATGATCCTAGGAATGATATTCTTACTGAATCTAGAAGGAATGCTTCACAGTCAGCCTCTCCAACAAAGCCTCCCTCCAGAAATGGAGGTCTTCAGGAAGAAGAGAAAACTCTTGAAGATCATGACAAAGAACAAATCAGAAAGAAAGTTGAAAGGTTCATAAAAGGAGGTGCTACAGGAGGAGCTGTTGGCAGTCATAGAAGACTCGTTCTCACTAGATCACTTGCTGATTTCTGCCTTATTTTATTCAGTATTTTTGATTTTCCTCTTCTAAGGCCAATATATGGAATCAGAACAATGAAATACTTCTTCTGGTTCTGCCAGTGTGTCATTGTGATAATATATCAACTAATTGAACTTTATTATGTAATGAGAGATATCAAGTTCCTTAAAGAGTATCTGTTCAACCATGAATGTGACAATGACGTCAAAACTAGAATTATAGACAGATTGAAGCATCTCAAGAGAGATTACATACTTAGGATCTGTAGCCTTGTCCGTCACTCCATTGATGTCCCAATGGTCCTCAGATTTATGGGGTTCTACTTCATCCCAAACTGGTTGGCAAGCTTGCTTGGAACGATAAGTTCTGCCATCTCAGTATACACACTGGTGAAAATAGAATAAATCAATTAAATCTTTCAACTTGTTCCCAAGATGATGGGGTTTTGGGGTTTTGGGGTTTTGGGGTTTTGGGGTTTTGGGGTTTTGGGG